GATAACATCCATACATTCATACACATCATGCATAGATGAATTTAAAACTCACTACTCATTTGCATTCATTGATGCTTTGTCAGCATATTATCCTCTTTGCAAAGTTATGTTACTCTCTCTCCAATAGAGTTCTCAATGTTAAACAGAAAGTGTATATCCTTTAAATTTCCCCATCGAGTTATCCCTCGTGGAAGAATTTTGCTTCAGCATTCCCATTCAGTTCATTATCTGGATGGAGTGTGATTCCCTTTTGAGTTTATTTCTCATTGGGTGTTGACTTGGTTGATTATTTCATTCCAGTTTATTTTTGGTTTGAGTCTGTAGTCCCCGACAACATTATTATTCTGATTTCTACAGGCTTCGAGCCTTGATTTGAGAATGTGCATTTATTTTGCACGCAAAGACTTTTTCTCCTCAACAGGAATGTATTAGAATTTCCCCAGGAAATCGAGCTTCATTTCTCGCCAGTCTTATTATAATTCCTTCTTAAACAGCAGGAGGAAAATCTCTTTATTTGAGCAACCTGTTCTTCCCAGTAAGTCTGTTAATGCAAGAAGATGTTTTTTTCAATGAATGGTAACATTGTTATTATGGAAGGTAGTTCATTGATGAAAATTTGTTTTCCAACGAATGGTAGCCTTGTCATTATAGAAGGTAGTTCGTTGATGAAAATTTGTTTTCCAACGAATGGTAGCCTTGTCATTATGGGAGGTAGTTCGTTGTTGAGATGTTGTTACTCCAATGAATGGTAGCCTCGTCATTATGGGAGGTAGTTTGTTGTTGAGATTTATATTCCTATGAATGGTAGTCTCATCATTATGTGAGATAGTTCGTTGATAAAATTTTTTTACTCCAATGAATGGTAGTCTCGTCATTATGGGAGATAGTTCGTTGTTGAGGTTGGTTGTACATCAATGATAAAGACAGTTCGTTGAAATATTCTTACAGCAGTTTTTTTACCCTTTCTAGGTGAAATATCTTGGTTAAAGAAGAAACAGAGACCAGTTTGTGGCTTATAGTCAGGATCGAGGGGAAGTTTATCTGATTCTTCATCAAATGGTATCTCTTCGAGGAAGTTCCGCAAGAGAAGTTTGTTGTGAAATCTTTACAAGTGGTAGTCTCTTTATTTGAGATAACTTGTGTTTTTACCCTTTCTAGGTGAAACATCTTGGTTAAAGAAGAAACTGAGACCAGTTCATGGCTTATAGTCAGGATCGAGGGGAAGTTTATCTGATCCTCCATCAAATGGTATCTCTTCGAGGAAGTTTCGCAAGAGAAGTTTGTTGTGAAATCTTTACAAGTGGTAGTCTCTTTATTTGAGATAGCTTGTATTTTTACTCGTTCTAGGAAGAACGCCAGGATTTTGGGAAGTTCGTTATTGCTCTTTAAGACATCACCTTCAGTAAAAGCTAGTGCATTCTCTTTTCTCCACCTTCAGTAAACCTCAGTGTATCTTCTATTTCTTTACCTTTAATAAAAGTCAGTATTGTCCTATGTTTTTTTCTACCTTTATTCTTGAGTGGGTAGTTTGTTTCCATTCTTAGGCAAGATTGATCTCTTTCTCCTCGTCGAACCTTACTCCGATTGAGTCGAGTTATTTCCAGCCATAAGTGCTAATGCCAAATATTTGATTACCAGGCATAAGCACTGATACCAAGCATTCATTTACTAATCTAGGTGTTGGTGGTTATCATTGTCTTTGAGCCGATATTCCCTTCATTGTTCCTGTTTTCGCTTTTCTGATTAGCGATTTCCGATCCCCTGTGTTGATGTTACTCTCTTTTTGATATCTCCTCTATGAGGGGATATTTCACAGCTATCAGTTTATTGTTGTCATCCACTACTTTTCCCTCAGTTTTGGAGTTTATGTTATTTTGTCTCCTCTCAGGATCTTACCCCCAGTAAAGTTGAGTTTTCTTTCCCCAGCATAGCCAATTCGTCTCCAATAGATTCAAATTTCTATCCCTGGAGTCATGTTGTTCTACAGAGATTTACTATCCTGGTTGAATTCTTTTTGTTAATTTGTATATTTTACTTTTTCTTCTCCAGTGTGTGTCTTGCCCATTTGCGTGAAGTTTATATGTTACATCCATAATCATAAACACCGCATGGCATCTTAGGGCAAAAAATAGGGCTTGTTGTATATTTAAGTATCCTCAATCGCGTCGAAACAAAGATTTTTATCTCCGTATCTCTGGATAGAAGACACTTAAATAAGGGCAGCTATTATACCCCAATTTTCCCCCCTAAGATCCCTCACCATACTCTGTACATCTCACACATAGCATTGGTCTCATGGTTATAAGATCGAAGAGCTTTGGCATTAGGGTTTCTCTCTCTGAATTGAGGTTGTTGTCTTACTTAAAATTTATTCAACTGGTGCTCTCATAATTCTTGGTATGAGATTAGGGTTTTAGATCTCAAGCAACATAGACGTCTTCACTAGCAGGATTCCTCGAGATATAAGGTTGTCTTCATCATAATTTCTTCGAGAAGAGTGCTTCAGAGTTTACCGTGTGTTAAAAATTTCATCATGTCTTCATTGAGAATGTTCTAAAGTCGGGGTTTTGTTCCTCTCACTAGCTTAAGCCTTCTTCATTAATGTACACTCAGAGCAAGATCATTTAGGGTTTCTCCTATCTTATTCGGAGCTTGGTATTATATCATCAACGGAAGTTCATCGTGCTAGGTTTTCTCCTTAAGGCTACAAGGGTAACCATCTGTTCTTTATTGCAAATTCATCAATCATGTAGATCCTCCCTTTTGTTACTTTCTCTATGATTCATTTCTTTTCAAGAAGTCTAGAAGATTGAACCATGTTTCTCTTCTTATGGTGAGACTTGCCGAATGATTAAGTGTGGCTTTGGGTTTTCAGCATGATATTAGGAGTTTAAGGACTTCTTCAGGATCAAGGTCTTGTTATCTTTTTGACTTTTTGATTGTTGGAAAATTGCTTGAATTCAAGGCATTTATTATTTCTCATATGGGGTTATTTGTTCATTCACCTTCAAATTCAAATACAAGTGCGATTTCAAGGTCAAAAGTGAAAAGTTGGAAGGTTCATGTATTTGGATTAACTAGAGCCTAAGGCATACCATTTTGGTTCGTTCCAAATTCGAGACTCCAAAACATGATTTCAAGTCGCATCCAAAGTTGTTAAGGATTATCGGTCACTGTTTCAAGTTCAATTTGCAAGACAGTATTCAATTAAGAGGCTTTGATATTCATGTCAAGTTCAATTTTCAAATGGAATTCAAGTTACAAGATAAATTCAAGGAGGCAAATTATAAGGATCTAGATGAACTGTGTTTCATTCAAATATGATTCAAACAGATGTAAGATTTAATTGCATATGGTAAATTTGAGTTCAATAAAAATATCCATAATTCCATTAAAACTCAAAACCTAGTCTGTTACACATTTCAAAACAACTCCAAAAGCTTATAAACGTGTCCAAATCTTGTACAAACACGCTGAACCAATTTACTTAAGTATATGAACAACAATGAATATTGTTAGCAGGTCAAATACTACACAAAAGTGGATTACATATGATGAATTCGGAAGTAGGTTTTGTGTGGCTAGATCGAATGAGTGTTATGGCAAGGAAAAAGCTGAACTTGGGGAATCCAATTCCAATACTACACGAGGGGAAGAGGCTAATCAGAAAATAAGAAAAGACACCGATGAACAATGCGAAACGATGACAGAGGATAATCCAAGTAGCTCTATTTTTAATGGAAAACCTGCAGTAATGGAAGAAGAAGAAGAAGTTATTTTCTTCAGGCCTCTTACAAGGTATAATTCAGCACCGCTGTCTCCATCTGTTTCAACTGATAAGTATATATCACAAAAAATAAATTGATGACCAAAACTTACCATCTGATGATTGCGTGCGTCGTGCTACATCTCTTCTTATGGCACAAAATACAGTTCAAACTCAAAGCGGCCCGTGGGAATACTATGGAAGCAATTTGAAATTCATAAGTGACCAGTCTTTCAAACAACAAGGACCTTCATCAAGGGAATCAAATCCACAAACTTACTTAGAAGCCTCAATATCCGCTGGCCCTCCATCACTCAATGCTTGGGCCCTTGACGAAGGAAGTTTGAGCAACAATAGGAGAAATGGTGCAAAGGATCTCATGGAGCATAGGTTGGAGCCTATTAAAGAAATAGCTTCTTCATCTTTGGCAGGTTTATCCATCAATAAAAATGAAAACTCAGTCATAAACTCCGTAACTGAATCTTCAAACTTCAATACCTCTCTGCAATCATCATTAATTGGCGATAACAGAGTCTGCGACAACATTTATTAACACAACAAAGTTTTAGTAATAGCAAAATCATACAGCTTGCATAACTAACTGCCAACAGCATAACAGAAAAATAAAGCAGGAGGAAGCTTGAAAGAAAAAACCGCAAACTCAAAACAGAATTAAGAGAATCCTACCATCAGTTTTCCTGGAACTAATCTTTCAATCAAGGGCTGAGATTGAATCCAATCTCTAACCAACTTTCAACAAACTATAATAGAATTAATAACAGAACTGAAAAAAGAGGGCGGGGAGATTTCTAACAGAAGGCTAACAGATTCAGAACAGAAGGGGAGAGGGGGATTCACAACAGATAATAGAGATTGAAGACTCACCTTTTCCACTGGTCATCATCTTCAACATTACATACTCTCCATCTTCAAAAAACCTTCATTCTCCCTTCCGCGCTTGAACCTTCAATACTATAACCACAAATTACCCTTGCTTCCTCTGTAACTTTTTCTCACCTTCATCCTTCATTCTGCAGAAGAACCACTATCGAAAACTATGATCTGGTTGCTCTTGAATCTTCACCGTTTTCCCTTCAACAAACCTTCATCTCTCAAGAACTCCTTTGGATTCATCTTCATCTCCTTCGAATATCATCCTACGAAAACCTCTTCTTCTCTGCAACTCTGAAACAGCCTCACGACTTCAATCGTCTTCTTCCTCAATCTGCATCATCTATGCTTCTGCGTGCAACAATCTCATGTAACAACAACAGTTCACAGTAACGCGAGAATAAGAAGAGGATTTGCAGAGTCGAAAGGGAAGAACATATTGCAAAAGCAAAATGGCAGATACCTGATTCGATGTTGACGAAACAATAGATAGTTCTTCTGATAGGTAATTCCTATTGCTCTTGATTTTGTCAATTTCGTGCGTCTGTTGAAATCTTGAGTTTAAACTGAGAGGTGAGAAATTGAGAGCACAAGGCAGAGATTCGGTGAGGGAGCGATGATGGTGAAGCATTGAAATGAAAAAGCTATGTAGCGTGATGTTGAGAAAGAATTGCAAAATTGAGAGCGCCACAGTAGTGTTTTCGTTGCTTAATGGAGGAGATTGAGTGGAAGAGATTGAAACAACAGAGATGGACGCTCTCGCCGATGATTTAAATCAGAGAAAAAGAGTAGAAATTTTGCGGCGGTGATACGAGAAGAAGAATAGTCGAAGTCGAAGCGTCGCCCTTTTTTTTAACCCTAATCTTCTTCTCATTTTTTTTGTATTATTTTTGTTATTATTTCATGAAATATTTTTTTTTTGACAATGTTAATGATATGTGAATGATAAAAATCCAGAGTGCTGTTGGTAGATATGGCCGAGTTGTAAGACCAATGGGCCCATGCATTTCTTTTTGGCTAAATATCATGTTTACAAAAAAAAACAAGGCTGAGTTGTTATTGTTTGTTTGAATCAGGCCCTGTATCCTTGAGCCCGCCTCTTTTTTTTATAAGCCTAAGGTAGTAGCATTGCAAAAAGGCTTATTGGGTTACAAGTTGGGCCTTAACATCAGTTCACAGCACCATAATCTCTGACCCAGTTTTAACACCCCCCTGACTCTTTCTAATCTCTTTAGTTTTAACTTTTTTTTAGTTTAATTTTCTTTTATAATAAAAATAGTAATAGAATGTAGAGTAAAACGAAAAAATAAATATAATTTAGATTTTTTTTTCATGATAAAAACTACAAAAATCAATGATTTTTTAGGCTTGTTAATTTTTTTTAGGAGATTAATTCCTAAATTTTATTTTACTTGAAATTTGTGATTCACCTTTGCTTGTTGAGCTGAGTCTTATGCAGGTTCATTATTTGATATGCGGATGTGTTTTGGATTCCGATTGTGATTTATTTTTCACATTGATGAAGCTTCGACACCTATTCCAAATATTCGATCTCTGACTGTTTGTTTGTTGATGCCAGCTCACGCGAAGTATCTCAGATTTCTTTACTTTGGTTGCGCTTTTTGCGGACATCATTGTTCGTTTGGTATTATACTGTTTCCAATTTATTTTTCTACGCATTTATCGCTTTCTAGATATCATGAGAAGTAGGAAATATAGAGCGTGCGCTCGAAGTCACTGTTTAAAGACCTATAGCAGGCATTCCACACTTTATTTCTTATATGTGTTGTGCTTGTGTTTGTTTCCTTTCTTGTTGATCGATGAGTCGCTCAATTTAGAAATCGAGATCACGACTTCGCTCTCAGTGCATTCTCTCTATAGGATTTTATCACTTTCCTTTATTTCTTGTTGATCGATGAGTCACTCAATTTGGAAATTGAGATCACGACTTCGCTCTCAGTGCATGTCCCCTATAGGATAGTATGTTAGACTTTCTTTGGCATGCTAACTTAGATAGGTTCCCTCACTGTATGATAAGATTAGATTAGAGATAAGTTAGTCTCACTTAGATGTTTTCTTCCCATTTTTGCATAATCGCATTTAAAACTAAAACTGCTTTTTCTTGGCAAATGAATAAAAAATGCTAAGCTTACAAAAAAATCTTTTCATGGTAAAAAATACCAACCAATCCATTTCTTTTCGCCATTCGGCTTTTCTCTTCTAAGAGCATGTTATCTCCTTTCCACTACAGGTCATAAGTCTTCAAAGGTCAAGCAGCGGTGGAATGATCGAATGCAACATTGTTCATTTAAAAAATACAAACAAACAAAATATATGAGCCAAACTACGGTGCTCTGATTCCTTAAAGGGGATACATAGGCATTTGGTAACGGGGCTCAACCAAGCGAAAATTATAAATACTTCCTTCTTTTCCCCGTGTTTTATTTGCATGCATTCCCTCTTAGTTTATAACCCTTAAGCATTAGATTGAACACACCCTTTGATTAGAATAACGAGAGTGGATCCCGTAGAGTACTATGGACGTGTGGGGTGCTAATACCTTCCCCTCGTGTAATCGAATCCCTTACCCAATCTCTCGGTCGCAAGACCTTGATTTCCCCCTTTAGGTTTTTCTTTGATGATTTTCCTTTCCCTTTTATATGGGATAAATAAATACTCGGTGGCGACTTCATTGATTTTACCGCTACACCAATCATGAAGATCCTGATAGAATTAATGTCAACAAACTTGTCCACATTAGGAAATAAGAATAATCCGTAAGCAAGTAGAGCAAAGATGGCCTCAAAAGCGACTATACTCTTCATCCTGGAAAAGTAGCAAGCTTTCTCTAATAAGAACTGGGCTAATAATCCTCGAATCCCTCCTTTAGTAGTCATACGAGCTTCCACCTCAGACTTCCCTAGATGAATCAAAGCAGCAATCTCCTATGGTTTTGGCTCACCCTCCAAACCAATAAAAGGAACACGATTGGTAACGAGTAAATCCAACAGATAAGAATACTCCTCCAGTGTAGGCATCAACTGATAGTCAGGAAAATTAAAGCAATGATAGATCGGTTCATTGAACTGGACCAAGGTCTAGAGAATACCCTCCTTCATCCTAAGCTTCATAAGAGGAATGATGGATCCATACTTCTTCTGAAAATCTGAAGAACACTCGTCCTCGGGAATTATACTGATCAACTCATCTATCTTGGGATCCTTGAAACTGTATTTCCAGGTCTTTCTTCCAGAGTCCATGCTTAAAAGGTACCTGAGATATTCACAAATGGTCAACTTTTAAGTCCCTTGAAATAAGATTTCTTCAAAAGATGCTTATGAGTGCATGGATGCATGATGCAACAATCACACACAAGATCACACATATAGGGTTCATAGGTTCAACGTCACGAGCACGAGGTCAAAGGTACTACCCATGAGGTGCTGGTATAAAAGTTATCACCTGCCGAACAAGGTTCTAGAGGTTCCCAGAGTCTACATGCTTCCTTCGGATATTACCAACTTCTCGATTAACTCGGTAATTAGTAATATTCTCAAGAAACTCGTCCTAGCGTAGTATCATGTGACAATTATTTCTGGATTACTCCGTCATAGCTTCCGCACTACACCTAAAAGGACAAGATAGGTTTGGTATTCTACGGTCCTCAGTTTCAGCAGGCTCCCAAGTTGAAAGCAGTACGTCTTCCCAATTACTCGGTAAACGACACTACAGTCAAAGGGGCCTCCATTGAAAGGGGGATCTCATGGCTCCTTTTTTGGGATTACTCCCTCAAAGTTAACATGACAATACCGCCCGTCCTATATTAAAGTTTGCCCAAGTCCGGGTATAGGACTTATAAGTAATCACCAAGCACCCTGAAAACCAGGAAAATCCAAACAAACATATATACAACATATAACACATAAACAACAATAGCACATATACGGATATAAACAAATATAGGTTCAACCCACTTAGGGATGGACCAGCAAGAGGTCAATCTTTCCCCAGTGAAGTCACCATTTTTTTCTGTAGCGGTAGAAAGGTTTAAGACTAAGCCATTGGATTGACTAGACTTATACAGATTAAAAATAAAAATCGCCACCACACTTTATTGTTTCCAAAGGAATGGGGAAAGAGCGAGTAACCCAAAAGAGGGGGGAAAGATTCAAGGTAAGGGGGTTGGTTATGCAAAGGGAAGGTATTAGCATCCTAAATATCTACAGTACTCCGTAAGAACCTCTTTGTAAATTCTGTATATTTTGGCTATAAAATGTTGTATAAAAATAGATGGTGGAGGTGAGAAAATAAATCTTTTTTTTATGATTTTTTTTGTTGCAATCGCCGCGGTTGTGAACCTTTAGTGCATACGTACCACCTTCCGTGCAATAGGGGATCAGGGTACACGTAGTTCCTCTTTAAAAATTTTAAAATACAAGTGTGTTGGTTAATTTTATGAGATAAGATATCATCGTCATTGTCCGTGTGGAAAAACATGCTTACTACCCACAATCATGAGAAAGGAGAATTTGCGTCATCTCAAAGTGCAGGATATGGCTTGGATGTTAAAATCAACAATGCCTCACTCAATACCCAAGTGGAAAATATATCTCTTCACTATATATTGTAGAAGTATAGTTGTTTGTATTACTACAAGGATTGACAAGAGTCTAATATTTTTGAGAAAAGTTTTTAAAGTAAAAAGCCAAAGTGGCGAAAATGGTTTGAAATGAGATTGATTGACTTTTAATCTTCTCACAAAAAAAGTCAAGGTTTTATTAATGTTGATTGAAGTTTATTTGTTAAAGATATTTTGAAAATGCATGGACCCAAGTCCAAGCTTATTATGAAAGTAGTTCAATTTTAAAAATAAGAAGAGTTTTCAAAAGGAGGGAGAAGATTTTTGAAATGAAAGAAAGTGGGAGGAGAAGAAGACACTATCCAAAAGCATAAGGTAAAAGCTAGGGATAAGAACCATCTAACCAACAAGAAGCCAATACATGACATTATGAGTCAAGATAGAATTCCCATTCTTTAGATTGAAACCAAGCAAGCAAAGATACTAGACCTCTTGAGAGAACTAAACTTCAAGTGTATTAAGTCTTCATAAAAATTGGGCAGAGTAACGGCTGTATACGGGTGAATTCCAAATTACAAACAAAGAATGTAATCACAATAACCTGCAGACACAACAAACAAATAACCCAATGTCTTAAGGTAAACCTCAAGGACTCCAGACAAAATATCAATTAAGATCACAAGGTCTCCAACATAGGCCCAAAGTTTCTAATCCTAAGTCCAAGAAGTCCAATACTCCATAATGCCAAGGATAGTACCCAAATAGTCCAAGCATCATTAAAGTTTTTTAGGGTTTATATTGATTATTAAGTGTCTTAGAAGAGAAAAGAAAAGGCTCAAGTGAGCAAAATAAAAATGACATGAAATGTAATGCTTAAAGTAAATGGTACATAAAGCATAAAAAATAAAAGGGCATAAAGTAAAAACAAATTATTAATTAGTGGTTAGTTGGATGACCATATTGAAACTTGCATTTGGAACTCATTAGAGGATTGGTAGAACCAAAGCCTCCACACAACAAGTTGCATTTGCTTTTTGTCAAGTATATCATCC